AAGCAGGTGCAACCTGGTCAGCCATACACATAAGAGTGCACAGTGGAGCTGGAGATCTCACTGGCTGAAGGAGCTGGACTCAGATTTGAGGGCAACTGCAAGCTGCTGTTTGAGTGCTCTAGGGACCAAAGGCTTGTTTGAGGACACCTCTGGAGGTTTGTGGGAAAATTAAGATGTTGAACATATGTTACCACAATGTTAATACTTCTTTACCTTTTACCTGTTACCTGTCTTTGACCTATTGGCTTGTGACCCTAACCCCTATATAAAAGTTGGAACTCTCCCTTGCTTCATGTGCCAGTTTCTGGGGCTGCAGGGGTGGCACAATAAGTTCTAGTTTCATAAACAGTGATTAATTGAAGCCCTTTACTCTAACAAGCTGAGACCAAGGGTTTCTGATTTTTTGTAGGCCAAGGTGACAGGGGCTAATTGTGGTGGCATCAGGACATAATCAGTAACATTCTGTGGTTTCAAATGTTTAGATTTCTCATGAGTTTCAACTTTGCTTTGGGTTCCTGTAGTTCTAATGGCTACATTTCTTATTTTCAACTAACTACACTGTTCTTATACCTATTTTTACCTTTAAACTGTTTGACACACGGTTTACTCTTAGCCTAGCATCATGTTAACAGTTGTGCAGAATTGCCTGAATACGGGTGTCAGCCTCCCTATCACTTCAGCTGCCTCCCAATTTTCAGCTGCTGCAAAGCTCAGAAAGCTTGTTTGGATCTTCCATGGCCCTCTTCATGTAGCAGATGGCTTATAGCGAGACAGCTTTCAGGATCCAATCAACACTTCCCCACCTTCTTCAAGACTTAAGAAGTATGATCACCTTGAACACGTATATACTGAATTGTTAGCCTCCAAAAATTGGATACGACTATTTTCTCCCTGTGTCCTTATTTAGGCTCACTATAGTTGGCCTAAGAAGGTTACCAGCAGCTTCAGGGTAGATGGATCCTAAGAAACTTTAAGGGCTGATTGTAAGAGGCAGAAGCCCATGTCTGTCTAATAAGACTGACAAGAGACTGAAGAGAGGTCTCCAGTAACACTTTTAAGGTCTGTAGGAGAGATGTAGCATCATCAGTCTGCTGGTATCCCTCCCTCTCCTCCTTTCTCTCTAAACCACACATACATTTTTCCCTTTCCTCAGTCCCAGCCTTTCTCCTCCTGCAGAAAAAGGCAACTTGTCCATCAGGGTTCTAAAAACTGAAGCAGACCAGGAAGGTATTTTTCTATTGCTGTTGACTAGACTCACACAAAGAACCTAGTTTTAATTGTCTTTACTTCTCTGTTCTTAAACTTAAATCTACTAAAACAAAAGTGTTTGAAGAATTTTCTAATTAGCAAACCTGCTTTCATATAATGTGTCTTAATTTACAAATACCCTGCCTGATTAATTTCCATATTAGTCAACAACATCTCCTTTTTTTTTTTTCTCCTATTAACAATCCGCCCTTGCAATCAGTTTTCACTTTGAGGGCAATCTCTGTGAAGGGAAAGCCTCCAACCATGATTTGACGTCTTACATTAAGGATATCAGAGATGACAAGTCAGTTTGATGTTGTTGGATAAAATCTTCACAACTTTTAAAGCTTAACTGACTAATTTTAAGTCATATACACCCTAGTTCTCTACTATTAAAACAAGTTCAGTACATCACTTTTTTTTTCTTTTCTGCTTCATTTTGTAGCTAAGTAGGAGTAAAAAACAAAACAAAAATTCCAAAGAAACTAATACTGGCTGTATACAATGTTCATTTTTAGCAGTGGACATTTTTGAGGAATTTCTACTGTTAGAAATTGTTCTAAGAGAGGGAGCAACACAGGAGTTCAGTCCACATCCCATGCACCCATCTCCTGTTCTTCCTGCCTTCTCCAAACCAGGCATCAGCCTGGGGAAGCTGTTCCCTAGGCCAGGCAGTCTCTCGTATGGGGAAGAACCAAGAAGCATTGCCTCCTGCTTCTCTCCCCTCCCAAACTGATCCTGGAGGGAAGGGTAGCAGTGGCGCAGTCTCAAGCCTGGGGTAGTCCCTACTCTCCTCCTTTTCCCTCCAGAATGGGAGAAAAAAAGTGTGCAAGTGTTCATTCTTGCAAGAGAAACTCTCACAAGGGATATCTTCCAGGTTGACACCTGGAAGATCTTCTCCCAGAAGGGGCATTTCGCCCAGGAGAGATTGAACAAATGCTTGTCATTCTGCCAGGAGAACAGCGATTCTCCTGGTAGAAATGTAATGTGTATACACAGCCACTATTTTGAACTCTGAACATTCATATTTCATGAAACCTTCGAAGTCAGTACCAAGTATCCACATCTACTCTGCTATCTAAATCAAGAATTTTAGGTCAATTTTCCTTTGTTAGTGCATCATATTGGTGAACGCAAAATTGAACTCAGAGCTAAAATTCAACTACTTCAACTTATTTCTCCACCACTTCATAATACAGTACAATACACATTGCTTAACAAAGCTACAAATTAAAACATTATTAAACTTTATAGGTCTGAAGAGATTAAGAGTGTGTGAAGAAGAGAGTCATTTAAATGAGCTTTATTCACTGCTCAGATGTGAAAGATAGGTAAAGTTCAATTCAAGCCCAAAAGCCCCCATTATGTCCCTATTATGGCAGATGATGCAGTAATGAATCTTCATAATGCCAGCAAAGGCTTCCACACTGACAGGGTTGTGGAGATAAAATGTACTTATAGCTACAATATCTTGTATATTAATATTTAATGAAATAATTTAATTTGAAAATAACATATTTATTAAGCCTTTGTGTTTGCAGAGGGACTGGAACAAAAAGGCCAGCCTCCATCTCCAACAAAGTGCAAATCAAAGCAAGTGGAAGACCTACGGGACGATAAAGAGGGTAGGTGGTATTAAGGCTTTTCAGAGTCAGTCAGCAGTATTTTTTTTATTGTAGGACAAAGATTTACTTTCAGTTAAGGTAAGCAGAATAGAGTGTGACAAGGTGCTCTCCAGCAGTGGCCATGAAGCCATGGAGTCCCTGCAGCCCTCCTTTTGTGGACAATCACCCCTTTACTCACCTGCCATGCAACGATGTCTATTACTTTTATGCTGGAGGCTGCCCCCACGGCTTCCCAAATTGCTCTCTCAAATGACCACCAGGTGCCCATGGTCACTGCTTTGTGTGCTAATCAAGTGGCTCCATTCCTCCCCTACACCATGCCTCAGAGATGGCATCTATTGATCTCTTCCACTTAGCCCCTTCTCTGGACTCTCTGTGGTCACACTCTCTCAGCCCCTCAGTCTGGACTCTAGACCCCTCACTGAGTCCCTAGGAACCTCCTTCTCTCCCCTTAATTCTTCTCCAAACCTCCAGGCTGCTTCTTGCTTTACTTTCCTAGCTGACCTTCTGAAGTTGCAGCCATCCTGATGAGGTTCTCTTAGCAGACTCCAAGATGTTACTGCTGGCTCCACCGAGATCTGGGCTTATATCCTACCTAACCCCAGCCTTCCTCCAGTGTCAGATGACTCTATAATCAACCTTGGCTGCACCTGCAGGCTGCCCCAGCACTAGTTTGCCTGCTTCTTAAAGTGGGAGAAGCACCAAGCTTCCTGCCAGACACAATAATTTTCTTTTAAAATATTCCCAATGTCTGTATTTATTGTGCAAGTATGTTTTAGCTTAGAAACTGGGAGTGAATTCTGCTACAGTTATATTTTATATCAAAGGAGATTCAAAATTAGGAATGATATGCTGATGTAATAATCTATTTATTATTGTTGCTATAAATGAAATAAATGCCCATAAAGTACTTTGATGGGGTGCAACTGATGATATCAAAAGTAATATACATTGCATAATGAAACAGTCAATGTCTGGTGAAGTTAAATGATCAAGTAAATCTGCTGCCACTATCAACTCACACTGTGCAATAGCATTTTTTTCCCCTTTCTGGAATAGAATTTGGTATATAGGGGCATTTATACACATGCTCCAGGAGTTGCAGGGGGAGGGGGCATTTTAATTAGAATGGGTCTCAGAGCTGCTCTAATTAAAAGTACCTGGAGTGTCGCATATATCAGCATCCCCAAGCTGAAAAATGGTAGTGGGGGAGCTTTAACTTAATCTCATCAAACAAGCTTTAGTTAAAATGCCTTTGCTGCCATTTTTCAGTGTGGAGACACTGATACATGTGATGCTGGAGTCTGCTGGAGCATGGCAATTACCACGCTTGATTAATTACCAGCAGAAATGATTAATTACCAGCAGACTCGATCAATCAGCCTCCCTGCATGGGTATAGGGGTCCTATGTTTACAATGTATTTATGTAGTGCATGACCCCATGTAAGGAACATTCATACCCAACTACTTAATTCCATCCAAGTCAGAAAAGGACTATTCTTATGTACTCTGCTGAACAGATATACTTTTCTAACTAGAATCTATGTAGGGAAGCTAATCTATGGGTGCAGAAGCAGTGTATTGTACTAAAAAGTGAAATCATTCTGGTGCTGGATCAAATTAAAATAATTTTAAATGAATTGGAATCTCATTGGTAGAATTGTAAAGTCATATTAGAGTTCAAAGAGGTTTATTAGTACGTTTTCAGAGTGCAGATTTGTATGTTGTTTTGAGATGTGTGCCTCCACAAAATGTTTGTTAGCACAAGGCCTGATAGTGATATAATTCATAAGGGGAGCCTTGATCATTTATTTTTTAGACAGTTTCTTGCCATAAAATACCTTTCACCCAAAGTTCCCAAAGGAACATGTTTAAGTCTCCACCTAACCATGTCATTACATAATGTTCATCATTTTGACTTAGTGCTGTGACTAGTGCTCCTAAAATACTGGTGGTATGGCATGAGTTATAAAGACCAGAAAAATGAAAACATCCATCACATTAAGTAACTGTGAGTAACATCCTATCACTAACCTTGTGATTGTTTGTTAATGGCAAGTACTTAGAAAATGGAAGTTATTATCTTCAAGGTGTGGAGGGACTCAAGAAATCTTTTCCAGCCTTCTTTCTCATTAACTATATATTGCTGAATTGAACCCACCTCAAAAATCAAATAGCAGTTTCATCTGTAGATTATCATTTCATTAGAGAATCTCCACAATGACAAAATAAAGATGCCCATTTAGCTGTTGGTTGCATGCTGTGGAAGATCATAGATAATTGAAGGCTGATGATATCATTTTCTCTAATGAGGATAAACAACAATCATTATAATGGCTGTTATTAAGGTGGGTTTTTTTTATTTTGGAAGCCTCTAGAAACTAGCTTTGCCTTAGGGCCCTGCTACATGTTCAAACTAAAACCAGACAAAAACCAGTTATAGAGCTGTTACACATTTTCAAGCACTAACTTTATAGTTGGTTGGCTCTTTTTATAGCTGAATAGTCATTTTTATTGTGTAATAATTACCATGCATGTGTGGCTGGTCTATATTTATTGCACAATTAGCTAGTTAATTGCATAATATACGTAAGGTATAGCAGAAGCCCCAGGCACTAAAAATAAAGAAGAAACTGGATGCTGTAAACCCACAGGGTTCTCCTTTAATTGACAAAAAAGCTGACATTATTCCTTTAACTACTTCTACATTGTGGCTTCCCAGTTTTACTATTCCTGTTAATGTGTCTTTGTGACCTAGAGTTTGCTTTGTAGAGTACAAACAAATGTATTGAAAGGATGAAGTAAATAGCATGGCAATGGAATGATTACTTTACCTTAAAGTATAAAATACCTGGACTCCTTGAATTTGATGCCATCCAGTGGATTTTGCTGATGCAGAATTGAGGCCTGTAATACATAATCACTGCTGCAGAATTTAATCTATTTGGTGACAGAATTCTCTTTTCCTTAGGCAGAAATCAGGTCTGTAATGCATAGGGTTGAAAGTCTAAATTGAGACTCGAGAGTCCTCGTGATGGAAAAAAGTAATTAAAGCATCCACTGAGGGGAAAAAAGGGTTTGGATCAGATTCCTGTAGAATTACCTTTGCCTTAGTTTTCAAAAGGCATCAGGCAGTTAGGCCCTAGATACTGAATTCCTATAAAGTTGCAAAGTGGCCAGATTCTAATGTAATGCACCTGTGAGCCATTTCAATTTAAGTAAATGGGATTTGCACACATTTATCTGAGAACAGGATTTAGCCCCAGATAAATGTTGTCCTAATTATTACCTAGACTGTAGTTTCTAACTAACTAAAAGACCTCATGCACCACCCTTGCAGATGAAAAAGATGTGAATACATACCATTGCATTATCCAGGATGCGCGCTCTGTGTGTGTGTGTGTGTGTGTGTGTGTGTGTGTGTGTGTGTGTGTGTGTGTGTGTGTGTGTGAGAGAGAGAGAGAGAGAGAGCGAGCGAGCTTACCTTCAATACCAACCTCTCTGTTTGGGGTTGACTTTAGGAAGGTTACCTTACAGTAAAGCCCAAGTTCACTGGCTTTAACATATTTTTACTTTAGGAGATTGTGGACATATTTTACCTGAATAGTATTTTAACTGTAAGGGTAATCCTAAAAGCACATTCATTAAATATTAACAACATAATATTTTTTCCCCAGCATGGCATCGTTAGTAATAATAAAAAAGCTTAGAGAAATTACAAGAAGAATGTAGAGTTGTCCTATATTAGCTGAGGTGTCTCTTTAAAATGTAAGTGAGAATATGTGAAGAGAACCTAACTTAGTCTATTAACAACCTTCTGCTACCCTAACTCACTCCTGGATCTTAAAATACTATTCTGAGCACAGTAATATCTCAGCAGTGTTATTTTTCTACCACATGCCCAGCTGCTTTGTTGGTTTGAGATGAAGTAGCAATATCTCTACAGCATGGCTAACATCTCTCCAGAAGATCATTGAAGGTTGATTCCTATTTTACTACTTCCTCTACAACCAAGGAATGTCAGATATGTAGCTCTGTGTAGGGGGTTTGTTTTCCAGTAAGTGACAATAAATGCTTGACATGTTAATGAAAGCAATTTAATATGGAGTTTCTAAAGTATGAATGGTCTCTGTTATTAAACTAGTTATTATATCGTTCTCTGTATTTGAACCAATGGGTGATAAAGCTAGTGTGAACTGCAGATCATATTTTGCTATTGGCTGTTTATTGTATTCTGTGGGTGTTATGAGGTAGTGTTGAATACTATCTGGAAGGAAATAGAGAAAAGAAACATTATCTCCCCCCCTCCCCCCCAAAAGTTCCTGTACTATTTCAGATAATACATTTGCAAACAGGATAATTTTGTAAAGTGTTCTGGGTGGGTGGAATCAACTAGATACAATTTTGATTTTAGTATCACTCACATTCACTATATGATTGATTGGTTATAAAAAACCTAAGGGGTGAAAAAGTCAAACTAGGTATATTCTACCTTAATGTCTGGAAAACTCTCAGATTTTTAAACAGACATTGTAGACAGCGCAGGTAATGAAAATCAAAGTTAACTTGCAGACACAGGAGTCTTTTGCTGTACTTATTTGGAAATAACTAAAGCTTAAAAGTACACCTGTCCAAAACATGTTACTACATAACTGTCTCCAGTCAATACACAAATTTCAGGTCAGATGCTCCCATCACTGTCATTCCTACTAAGTAAAAACAGAGCTAAAAACCCCTCTACAGCTCATCACTAACCCTCCTTTTGCCTCAGGTACTTACTGAGTAGGGTGACATAACAAGTACTTCTGGAACTATAAGGTCGATCAATTACTCATTACCTCCTTCTGAAATCTCTTAAGGAAACAGAAGAAAGCCACTGGAGCACAGTGCCATCCACTTCTTTCAGAGGCTATAGATATGTTACCATCATATAGTATCAAAGGAAATTGATAACTCTAACAACATCAAGTTGGTCACTTAAATCTTTCTCCATCACCAG